AAGAGGAGAAATGGAAAAGGGCAAAAATATAGCAAGCTAATTAGATGCCCTTGTTTAATTGACAGTAATAATTAGGGTAAAAAAGTTAACTTAACATAAAAGAGGACTACTTTGACAATGTTATGACGAAATTCATTGCCAGTAACAGGTCAGACGCCTTAAAAACTGACATCAATTTGTTTTTTACGATAACAAATTGTCAACTCGTCCGCCCTCGCTCGTGGACGCATGCCATAAATTATAAATTCATATGTCTGTCCGCTTATTGACAATAAAAATTAGCCAATGAGCGCGCGAGAATTTCTGCAGTTATATATCGTAAAAAGTTATCCAGTTTTTTCCCGCCAATATCTTCAAAGCCTGGGTAGCCTGGCCAATTCACATTCAATATGGCCGACGACTTCCTCCCTCGACTACCTGTAAACGGATTTGGTGTCTTATAAAGTTGTTGTGAAAGCACATAATGGATAGATTTGTCGTTCGAACCAAACGTCTTCCTAGATCCGAACGTGTATGTACAGTGACCAAGGATAACAAGAAACAGGCCACAATCGAGAGTCTCGCGGTGAGTTTATGGGATTATTTCTGATTTTAGCTTTGTGCGCACTGAGGTGTTTGTTTTATTATTATTTATATATAAGTTTATACTTTTTAATTTAAATCTTTAGAATGCCAGGGGCAGCGAAACAATTCCTTCCTACAAAAGTCACACAAGTAGCTTGTGTGTTTCGTTTAGCCCCGACGGCGTTGATCAAATTGATGTTATGTATTGGTTCAGTTATTGGAGTGTCAGACCATTAAAATAACTGTACATGTTAATCTTAACTATTCTAACAATGGTATGTCTCGATCTTTACCATTTGAAATGGCTTAACGGGTTCTTCAACATCCTACCTTTGGGAAGATTTCAAAGAAAAGACCAAATGAATATATATAAATTATGTCTGAACTGAGGGAAGGTTTTATGCACAGTCAGCCAGCATGACCCTATAGGTTACAATTTGTATGACCCAGGTTGGTAGTCTGACTAATTACAGTCAAACCTAAGCGGCCAGTTATAAAAGTCCCGAAATTATTGTCCGTTAAACACTGTAAACAAAACCCCCTATTTAGCAGCCACCTCTATTTAGCAGCCACTTCGGCCACCTTTTGGTCATCCCAATGAAGATTTTTCTTTTGTCTTTACTTCTTTTAAATGGCCACCCAAAATTTAAATTATACACTTAAATTACCTGTTTTGGGAAAACGTGATGGTAGATAAGAGTCCGAAATAGGATGTGATGAGTGATAAAAGCATTTAAACACACATTTATCATGATTGTCTTGACATGATTACATGTTCACTAACTAAAGAAATTAACCCGATGGTGGAAATATCCAAAGTAAACAAACCCCTATTAAGTGGCCAATCCTTATTAAGCGGCTACCCTCCATTTCCCCAAGGGTGACAGCCTGTGTCACGGGGGGAGAGGCAGCTGTGACACAGGCTACAAGTGTGACTGCTCAATAGAGGTTCCACTGTAAAAACTTCAGTCTCCTAATTCGAAATCAGGCAACCAATAACACGTTTCTACTTGATGCCTAGTTTATGTGTTTTCTTTTTTTTTCTTTAAGAGTGTGGTTGTGGTAGAAGAAATACAACACCTCAAATGTCAGTTGGAAAGTGACGTTTCCTCATCCGAGACAATTTTGTCGGCATTGAAATTGTTAGGTTCAAAGAACGTATCAAAAGATGTGCTACTGTCCACGAAAATTGGTCACACAGTCAATGGTCTTCGACGTCGAGGAAGCAGCAATGAGATAAGAGAACAAGCAAAGCAAGTTTTCAGAAGATGGAGACATTTTATCAGAGACCTTGAAAAAGAAAAACCCCTCATAGAAGTTCACTGTGACAAAAAAACTGAAGTTATTAGAGGGAAGGCAAGACAGCTATTAGCTGATGCTCTTCAATCAACGGTATGAATTGATTTAGTATTGATCCCAGACGTCTGTTGAAATGGCTTTCTTTCAAGCCATTGCACACATTGCTGGTTTAAGCCACAGGTTCAAAAAAAGTAACACATGATGACAAACATCTCTTAGCTACAGTTTGCAGCACAGCCATTGCAAATTCCTCAAAAGTAGCAAGTTCAAGGCAAATCTTGTCCATGGAATGGATTTTGAATTGTTCAAACTCTTCTCTGTAACATGTCTTCAATTGTATCTTGCTAGAAAGTGCAAAGCTTGACATGAAACTTACAAACAAACTTGCAAATGGCAGGAATTGGCGGGAAAGATTTACTCATTACACAATTGAAAAATTCATCATCACATGATCACTTTGTTTGAATCCATGACTGAAACCAACAGTGTGTCCAATGGCCTGAAAAAAAAAAGCCATTCCAACAGACATCTGTATGACTGTATGTTTTTATACCCAAGACCTATTTGCACTGGCAAAAAAGGGTATGGATCAGTTATAAAAGCTGTATATACACTAGTCCTGGGCCTGGTTGTATGAAATGGGATTATCAAATCTTGCATTTTTTTTAGCATTTATTTAACAAATTCAGGTTTCAGTTAAAAAAATTGACTTTCACTATCAGTTGCCAAGGAAAGTTGGCCAAGATGTGTTCATTATGGAGATTTAACTGTTTGGTTCTTAATAGTTTACAATGAAGGCTGGTGTAAGATTTATGACGCATCAAAATTATGAGAAACAAGCTATATATTTACTCAATGTACAGCATTTCTTTTCACTTTATTTGCAGACTGTAGAGAATTTACCAGAGCTTATTGAAAGAACTGTGTTTCACACTTTTGGCAGACTTATCAATAACACCTACAAGAGAAAAATGCGCTCTTTAGTCTTCACTTTGAAACACAGGGATGCTATCAGAGAGAAAGTTATAGGTGGTGAAATAACTGTGAAGAAGCTTGTCACTTCATCTGTTGATGAGCTTATAGATTGTGCAAATGGAAATTCAAAATAAGAAAAGTTAATAATTTTATTGTCAATAATTACTAAGAAATTTTATACAAGTTAGTGGAGTTTTGTTTTTATTTTATTATAGATATTTTGTTTGTGAACCATATATATCAGGGCTTCTGTGAATGCAGTCTTTCTGTTTATTAGGAAAGTAATCAAAACCAACAAATATAGTTTAATAGACCATGTTCATTTTCTCGGTATTGGACTGGCACTAGCTTGTAATGGTGGCTCATGCAGAGGAATAATCATTAAAAAGAGATAAATGTGAATTGCATTTGAAAAGACTCCCTGCATTAGCCTAAGTAGTTGCAAGATAGTTCCAGGCCAAATCTGAGAATACGAATATGGTCTATTTAAAAAATGTTATGTACAGAATTTCGGGATGGACCTTTTTTTTTCCTAGGGAGTGGGGGGGGGGGGGGGGGGGGGGG